GGGCGCCATGGCTGCCGCTTGGGGAGGAGCAGGTAGCTGAGACCGGCCGTGGGGCTGCCTGGGGGAGGGGGATGGGCAGCAGGGGCGCACGGGGCCTAGTGACGATGAGCGGATGGGCTGGGGCTTGCGGGCCTCGTTGGGGTGCGCGGGAGCTGACGAGAACTCTGGCCTGGGGCCTAGCCGTGGCGGCAAAGCGGCCTGCAGACGGCGTTGACGGGGACTAATTTTCCTCCGTCTTCTGGGGGTGGGGTCAGCGGAGCGAAATTGGACCGGTTCTGGTCTGTTTCGTGGCTGCTCGACAAGCTTCGATGAACTGACCAGGCTTGTCAGTTTTTCTGATGCTTGGAAAAAATGTGGGCATTGTGCGGGTGGGCTCTTAAAGGCCCAACTGATTCACGTTTAGAAAGAGGTTTTTTGTGTTTAAAAAAAATGAAAGTTTCTAGATATTGCAGTTTCCTCCCCTGCCAGGAAAAGCTTCTTTTTCACTACTGGCCCAGTAGCTTTCCCAAGCTGTGGACTAAATAGGACCTAATAGGTCCATTTTCATTTCTTGTTTTTAAACATAGGCTTTTAATCCAGTGGCATTCATGATTAGAGTCTCACACCACTTTCTTAGTATTAATAACTTATTTTAAAAACCACCATATGAGGTAGTTATACCTATTATATATGGAGTATGGAAGCACAAGCAAGATAGAAAATGTTGATTTCAGTACTAGAATTTTAAATCAGTTGGTGGTGGTTCTTTCAGTTTTATGATTCTATAAAATTAAAATAGCTTATTATGTTGCTTTATCTTATTCTAAATGTCTGAGGCAATATTCTACACATTTAAAATACAGTCTTTTAAGAGTTAAAAATGGAAAAGATATGCTGGGTCACACCTAATCAATTCTTGAGAAAAACACAAGGTAAAATACATTTTTACCTCCTCCCTGCTCTGTAGCTCTTGGAAATCAATTTCATTAGGAAATGTATTTAAACAGCCTTGTACAGGTATTTTTACAGTTGGGTTATCTGTTAGGATGTTGTCCCTTTAGTAGAAACAATGGTACGATATGATTATCATTTACACTAATTATGATCAGACCCAGTTGGGAGCAAGATTTAACTCACAAATAACTGTCATAGAATTCATCATGGTCAACACAAGATAGGTTAGATGATATGATGTAGAGAACCCCAGCTCAGTTGTTCCAAAGAATGTAAACAATTAAAGTTCCTAGTGAAGATAAGCCCTTAAAAGAAAATGATTGTCAGTATTTCATTGTTAAAAGTTTAAAAAGTATAGAGGATTTGGGGGGCAGCATCGGATGGAAAGCAATGCTGGTACATGTATAATGTTTATAAATATCTTTGAGGGTGTTGGATTTGAATGGTGTCAAAATACTAGTGCATTTATTAAAGTGAAGTCTGAAAACTTGGGTTCTGTTACTGATGTTTTAGGAATTCATATTGTATAAACACTTGATATTTTGTGAGAATGAAAATGTCATATTTAGTTATATTTTAAAACTATCACATTCTGAATGGGCATGCTTTTGTGTGAAAATGTGTGCATGACAGGCAAGGTAAAGGAACAGGTATTGAAAGTGTGTGGGTTTTTTTTTTCAAGCTACAATCGTATTATTGTCTTATTGGAGCCTTGGATACCTAGTCATGGACCAGGACCCCATTGTCCTATGTGTGGTTCAAAAAATTTGTTCAGCAATGAGCGTAGGTTGGGAAGATGTGGTTCTCACCCCTGTGAGGTCACAGTATAGGCTATGTCTCTCCTCTGCCCCCAAAATGTGTTGGACATTGAAAATATTTATATAGTTCTGATGTAATATTCTATTGTAGACCAAGGTACAGATGTAGTAGACTCTCTCACTGTAGTTAGTAGAGGTAAACTCCAGGTTAGGGTTATATATTCAATATTACAGCATCTGAAACTGTGCTATGTGTTTTAATGTACAAATAGACTTTCCAAAGAGTTTACTTTGTAATTTCAAGCACAGATCGTGATAGTAAACAGTAGGCCAGGTATGTAATGAGGGAAAATAAGGAACACAACAGTGAGATCATATGGTGACTCAGTGTAGGTGTGCACATCTTAGTTGGTCAGTTTAAAAAATTGCATTAATGTTATAGGTTCAATTATTCTCATTGCAGAATCGAGTTTTAAAATTGAGGATAATAGAATATTGGCTGGATTATCTATAGTGTGGAGGCCACTTCCTGTGTGGTGGGTGAAACAGTAATGAGATCCAGAGATGTCTGTGGGAGAAGTGGACAGGTTGTTTCATCAAGATGGTGTCATTAGTTTGGTAGAGAATGAAAGACAAGATTGTTTCTGTTGGCTTTGAAAGTAAAGATAAAAATTGAAACTTGATGTGGTGAAGAAGCCAGTGAAGGGCTGCAAAGTGGTAGTATGAAATGTTTAGTGCTGGTGAAGCATATAACTCTAGTGAAGTGGTTTTTATGTGCACTGGAAGGGAGGTAATGTCTTGAGAAAGAGGTTGCGGTAAACAGGTTGGGTTTGGAAGACAGTCTTTGACTAGAGGAGGCTTGGACGACAGTGAGAGAACATAATTTCTACTACTAGCACTTCAGCATCCTTTCCTACATTTTTGACTGTTGTAGGCCATTGCACAATTCAGAGATGTAGTACAAGTTCTCCTGATCCTTGCATAAGTCCAGTTGAAATTGCTTCTCGTTTCATTGTAATTTAATTTCTCCTGACAGAAGAAGACAGAACCTAGTGAGCGATTCCGTTTTTGTGCAAATGAGCAGAATCCTGAATATTTTTGTTATACCTAAGATGCATGCTACTTTGTCATGTTGTTTCAGTTACCACTACGGTTTGTATAGTGGTACAGTTTGTCTTTGCTGAAGTTTACTTGTGAGAAGGAACTTACAGAAGTTAGGGGGCTGAAAATTACACTGATCTGAGGTCAGGTATAGTTGTATACAATAAGGATGTTAGATATTCATTAATTTAATCGTGTAACTGCATCAAAACTTAGCAGTTACACGATTATTCTTTAGTCCCTGGTGAGGGGCTGGTAGCCAGTGTGCTCCCTGTCCTATACCTCGGGTGGCAGGCGAGAGCCAGCCTGCAAGGAGAACTGGATACAGAGGCAGCAGCGTGGGGCGGCAGCAGTCCCTGTCCACGCATGTCCCGAGCTTCCCGTGAATTGTGGCTGCACTGGCCATCAAAACTTAGCAGTTACACGATTATTCTTTAGTCCCTGGTGAGGGGCTGGTAGCCAGTGTGCTCCCTGTCCTATACCTCGGGTGGCAGGCGAGAGCCAGCCTGCAAGGAGAACTGGATACAGAGGCAGCAGCGTGGGGCGGCAGCAGTCCCTGTCCACGCATGTCCCGAGCTTCCCGTGAATTGTGGCTGCACTGGCATCCAAGGCCAGGCCTGCCATAGACAGAGACTGCTCCGCTGCAGCAGCCCCTGTGCGCAGGGGCCCTGAGCTCCCTGTGGACAGAGGCTGTGCTGGCACCCCACAGAGCAGCCTCTGTCTGTGGTGAGCCTGGGCCCACGGTGCACAGAGACTACTCTGTGGCAGCCTCCCTTGCCCTGCTCGCATGCTGTTGCCTCTGATAGAGGCAGCAGTGTGTGTATGTGGGGAGGAGGGCAGGCGGTTCACCAGAACTGGTGCTCGTGGAGACCTGGCTTTTAAGCTGGCTCCCCTGAGTATGGGCTCCTGCTTCCCCATCTCCTGCTGCCTCTGTAGGCAGCAGAGGGAAGGGGGGGGGGGGGGGGGGGGGGGCACGCAGAGAGCAGACTTAAAAGCCAGGCCTCTGTGTATATCGGTTCTTGCCTACCACCTCCTTCCCCTACGCTGCTACCTCTGACTGAGGCAGCAGCACAGGGGGGCAAACTGCTCCACAGGAGCTGATATGTAAGGGAAGCTAGCTTGACAGCTGGCTTACCCACTTGCCCTCCTTGCCCTTTGCACTGCTGCCCTTGGTTTCTGCCTTCTGGTGCCCCAGAGCCAGCAAGGGGAAGGGAAATGCATGTAGTCGATAGAATTAACTGACAAGCCTGGGCTTATCGGTTAATCATGTAGTTGACTACACGTTGACCTCCCTAGTATTCAGTCATACACCAATGCCAATAACACTACTATTTTGAGGCACTATTGGCAAATAAATGTCATACCTTTGGAACAAAACTGTTCTGAAGACTCAACAAAACAAAACTGGAGTACAGTAATTGAGAGCCAAATTTTGCAATCCTTATGTTTTTGTGAGCACTTGCTTACTGAGATACTCCCACTGATGTCATTGACACTTTATGAATAAATGCTTACCTATATTAGAGTTGTGCAGTCTAGCCTTGAACTAACAGTATGTGTGTATACTCTTGTGTGTGCTGTCATGTAAACAAGGTAATTAGGATGAAAGTGGCTTTTGTGTCATAACTGACTGCATGATTGTCATCTTCTGAAATACCAGTGTGTTTTGAGCCCCAAAATAAGAAGTCTTGCTGCTTATTTACAATGTATTAACAGATTTAAAAACAGTTTAGATTGAATTCCAGTTGTCGTTGTTTTAATTTGCCCCCATTTTCACTGTCAAGTATCATGGTATTATCAGGTAAAGTAAAACGCATGCTGAGATGGAACTTTTTTACAAACAATGCCAACAGTGGTGATGTTAATGTTACAGCAACATATATTGCTTTTTAATGTTTCAAACTTATATGCATTATATAAAGACCCTTTTGAAAACCAGAGTCCCTTCTGTGAATCATCATATATATAGTAGCCCAATGTCTGAGAGTCTGTAACGCTGAAATGCTGGCTGTTCCCTCTAGGTGGCGCTGTTGCTGAAATGCTGGCTGTTACCTCTGGGTGGCCCCTGCTGCATGGGGAGTGCAGGGCCCAAATTGCTCCCATGCGGTGGCCCGGCTGAGTGGTGCAGAAGTCAGCCAAGCGCCACGGCAGGAGGGAAAGGGGGGCGGGGCGGTGATGTGCATGGCCAAGGGGCGGGGCCTGGCTGTATAGGTCACCTCCCCACCCCGCTTCGCCTCCTG